ATAATTAGTGATAAATAAAGTTATTTAATTATAATTACCTCTCAATTAATAAGTTCAATTACATTTTCAATGTATTATAAAGTAATTGCATGATCGACTAACTGTATTTGTCTTAAATAAAATGATTAATTGATTATTTTAATTTGAAATGCTTCATTAACTCATAGTTAGTGATAAATAAAGTTATTTAATTATAATTATCTTTCAATTAATAAGTTCAATTACAATCTCAATGCATTATCTATTGCTTTTTCTGTTGCAATACATAACCCATGTGTTGAAAATAATCAAATAAATATGATCATTTGTTGCAACAAATATAAAAATTTGCTACAACAAATGTCTAATATGTATTATCTGTTGAAAATAATCAACCGTATATGCTTATATGTTGCAATGGATAATTCATTTGTTGTAGCAAATGAGCATCAATTGCAACATATGAACATATATGTTTGATAATTTTCAATCGACTCTATATATATTTGATATGAAATGCTTTGTCAACCTATTGCAACAGATTATAACCTGCTGCAACATATGTATAGATTTTTTTGGTTATTTTCAATAGCTGAGTCATCGTTGCAACTGGTTATAATCTATTGCAATAAATGTTGATTGTTCTCATTATATGTGTCATCTGTTGCAATAAGTAACTCATACTTGCTGCAACATATGTCTCTTTCAATTGTATAATTTAGCATTTTACAAATCTAAGAATAAAATAGAATTCATGATAAAATAACTGAACATCTATAAAATATAAAATATTGTCATCAACAATTACAAAATATATTAACTAAATATGATAAGTGTTCATGAATTACAATTCATATCAGATTATTCAACTAACAAAATAGAGTTCGTGCTAAAATAAGTGGACATCTATTAAATATAAAATATTATCATCAGCAATTACAAAATGAGGAGGATTGAAGAGATCAACATAATTTATTTTTGGATTGTTCTTGGCAGACAACCACTTAAGAATCCTTGGTTGAGAAATCTCTTTCGAGTAATCCTTGAATTGCTTCCGGAGGTAAGGTATTGCTTCAAATGTCCAAGCCTAAAAATATAAAGATGATGGAAATAAAAATTTAAAATAATTATTCAATAACAAATAAATAAAATACTAAAATTAGAGGTGAAGTTTACCATGAATGCCCAAGGAAAACCATATAAATTGTTTATCTTCGATGATAACTTTGACAACAAATATTCGATAGTCAAAAAATCAATTTGTGCATCATTAAAAAAAGATAACAATAAATTAAATAAATACAACATAATACAATCATCAACATATAATACAATCACCTGTTGCAATAAATAACCCATATGTTATAACAAATAGGTCATCTATTGCAACAAACAAGTCATCTGTTGGAAGAAATCAAAACTGATTTGATTTCTTCCAACAGATTATCTGTTTGTTGCAATAGATGGACTATATTGTAACAGATTCCCTATCTGTTGCAACATATGAGCCATATGTTGGAAGAAATAAAAAAAAGTCTTGTTACTGATTTGATTTCTTCCAACCTATAACCCATTTGTTGCAACAGATAGGACATCTATTGAAAATAAAATAACAGTTAAAATATTTTTTTCACAATACTAAAATATTTATTACCAATACTACCTACAATACCAACAAAATAAAAAACACTAAAAACACCACACAAGCTATTTCATCAACTAAACAACATCAATCTCATGTTTTTACCAATATACTAAGAACACCAACAAAACAAAGAATTGATGCAAAAAGATGGCCATAAAAAAATTGGAAATGCTTTAGAAAATAGAATTGATGCAAAGAGGACTCTTCGAGATATCAAACTTCTTTCTCACATTTTAAACTGCTAACGAATACATAAAGATAGACAATTCAAGTTCTTCTTCTCGTTTATAACTAAAAAGGAAAAGAGACCAAACTTCTTTCTCACATTTGAAACTACTAACGAATACATAAAGAGAAGACAACTCAAGTTCTTCTTTTTCTTTATAACTAAAAAGGAAAAGAAAGCTTGATCCTGATTATGATGATATGCGTACATTGCAGACATTGCTGCTCAAATCCAATTGGGCAGAATCTCAAACTTACACTATTGAAAAACTCATGGCCCCATGACAAATTCTTCTAATCTTCCTCCAATTGCAACATAATTACTTGTAAGTTAGAACAACGAATCATATATTAGCCAATAGTTCAGTGTGGTTAAAAAAAATTAAGCATTTCAGCTTAGCCCAAGTGTAGAAAACAATCTTAGAAAGACTTTGTCATGTACTTGTTGCTTTGGTCCAAAAGTATTATAGCCACAGGGATCGTATTCCATATATGCAAGAGTTTAGAAGTAAAGAAGAATACAATCCTTCTCTTCGCATGAATTGTCGAAAGTAAAAATTATGTGAACTCTAGAAAATTACGTTAGCATTGTTCTTGGAGGCAATAAATTATATATCATGACTTGTATGTTTTCTTCATTCTTTCCAACAAAATCAAGAATACCAACAACACCAATTGATTCAATACAACAACACAAACAACAAAAAGAAGTCAATATATCAACAATTGTTCGGGAAATACAAATAATAAATATGTCTATGAAAAAGCTCAAAAATCACAATAACTATTACTAGTACACAACAATGTTGGAGAACAACAACAACAAAAAATAAATAAATCACATTTCGCTTCTTTTTGGATTTTTCGAGATCAACAACAACAAATTAAGGTTTTTCTTTGGATTTGTCTTTTTTTTTTCAAGCATCAAATTCTAAAATTGCTAACGTATACATAAAGAGAAGACAATTCAAGTTCAACTTTTTCTTTATAACTAAAAAGCCCTATTTTTTTTCTACAATAAAGTTTTTACCTACGAAGAGAGAAAATTGATGCTTAGAATCGAAGCAGTTGTCGAAAGTTGAAAAGTTGAGACCCGAAAGTTGAAAAGTTGGCGGAAGTCGATTGGGAGCGAAGAAGAGATGTTGAATAAAATGGAGAGAAATTTGGATTATTTTGTATTTTAAAATTTGGATTGTTTTGTATTTTTAAAAAGATTAGAAGTTTTGAAAATGTTAATTCAGTCTCAATTAACTTAATCTAATAATTAAATGTCTTTGACTCTTTTTTGGTCAAAATAGTCACCAAAATTTAAATAGAGACTTAAGAGATACCGTTTGTTCAATTTTCTCTAGATACATGATTTTTGCTATCAGATTCAAAGAAATAGGGAGAGAGACGAGCGAGAACAGGAGGGAGGCGGGCGAGATTTGTCTATGTATCCTAGACACATGCGAATCACACTAGATATATGATTCTAGTGTAATTCACATGTATATTAAATACTAGATACGCGAGCGAGAGAGGAGAGTGGAAAACGAAAAGGGAGAGATGTGAGCGAGATTTGCCTATGTAACCTAGCTAGATACATGCAAATCCACTTGGATACAATGTATCTAAAGCAAATTAGTAAACCTAATTTTGACCCCATGATTTTGAAATACATGTATTTAGACATATCTGGACACACTAAAATCTGATCAGATTCATAATATTGCTAACATAGCTAAATAATTAGCTCATGCATGAGCCTAGATTTTGCAATTATAAATATTTCTTTTAAAAATAATAATAATAGTATGTATCCTCTAGAAGTGGTTGAAACATAATTGCATAGTATCAATAGTAGAAAGTGGTTGAGACATTTATGTCACTTTTCTTGAGAAATGAAGTTATACAAGTCGTAAGGGACAAGATTAAGATGTATTTACCATCTTTGATTAAAAAAGAAGATTAAAAAGACCTCTCCCTTCCCTTCTAGTCTATATATATTGTTGAATAGTCATGCACTACTAAAAAAACTGTGTTTAGCGACGGATATTAGTGACGACCTATATTTCATCACTAAATAACAATGGATTTGCAACAGAATAAGCATTTTGTTGCAAAATTATCAAATAGTTTTTTGAGTTATAATATAGTGACGGATTTGCAATGGAATATTTATTTTCTCGCTAAATATTAGCGCGAAATTTTGGCGCCTAATTTTCACTACGAATTTAGTAACATAGTAGGGGTGACTAATTTAATTAATATAAGGCGATGAAATTAGTGACTGACAAATGGTTGCTAAACTTTTAACTATATTTTTATAAAATTTATATTATATAGTGACGAAAATATCCGTCATTATAATTTTTTCTAAATGGATACATTTATTTGAAAGTGACGGATGTTAGAATCCGTCAGTAAATCCGTCGCAACTATTTTTAAAGTCATATATTCTAGGGCACAAAATTATTTCACCATTTTCAAGTCTCTCCAGAAACTTTCACTCTCAAGCTCCAATGAAGCGCTAATCAAACTCTCTCCAAGTTTTTGTTGCAACGATTTTGAAGTCTCCATCTCGAAAGGTAAGCGCTGATCAAACTCCCATCTCCATTTCCATTTAGCTCTCCATCGCAATGGGTTGGGGTATTTTGAACTCTAAACTCAACACATCAGGTTTCAACTCTTCTTTCTGCAAAATAGGAACCCCAACTAGCGACGGATTTGCAATGGAATATTTATTTAGTGGTTTGGGTTATGAAAATATGATATTTTAACTCTGAACTCTTTCCATTTTATTTAGCTTGAAGTAAGACTGAGATTTTCTCAAAATAAGGGTTTTAGAATTTGAGTGTTTAGAAAATAGGGATTCTTTTTAGAAGTAAAGTTTTCTGAAAATAGGGGTTATGGTTCAAACAAAGATTTGAATTTCAGTGTTGGGTACATTAAGAAGTAAGAGTGTGTTTAGCAGTAAATGGTCATGAGAAAAAATGATTACTTAATATGAAGACGCTTGGTGTGACTAGGGCGGCTTTTTGATGTGGTATTAATCTTTCTTTGTGTATCTAAAATCTTGCAGAGTACCCTGAAATCACAGTGATTGATGATAGTAGGCTTTATAGTTAACAGACATTGTGTCCTCATCATCCCGGAGTTTTATGCGCATTTCATCGACTTCTCAATCGAGGTTTTACATCTAGTTGGACAAAATAGGGAGTATGTTGTCTCATGTAGAGTATTTCAAAAGGACTTAACCGTATGGCCTAGGAAAACTGCTCATCTATCATATCTTCTTATGTATGGCATAAGAAAATTTAAATTATGGATCTAAATGTTCAATCTGTCTAGACTATTCTGATTTGTTTTAAAATATGGATCTAAAGGACTTAACCGTATGACATTTTTGCTCATGACCATTTTACATTGATTTCAGACTGACTTGTTTTAGTTTTATATTGCAATTAACTTTTATTGTTGTGACTACTGACTATCGACTCATTCTCTGGTAAAAGGTATCTCTCTTTTTCTCACCTCCACAATAGCTTTTTTTTTTCTTTCCAGAAAATGTGTTAATATAATTGTTTTATTTGCACTTTTGTTTGGTTCATTTTTTTGGTAATAAATAATGTTAGTATAATATTGAATCTAGTTCTTAAAAGCTACTTCTCATTGATTTTGGTCATCTGATTTAAGGATCTTTTGAACTTGTATGATATAGAACTTCTTTTTGGTTTTGCGATTGATATTGTAAAGTGGCTCTTTATGTTTTTCTCACTTGAAATGTACTCGAACCGAGAGTTTATTAAAACAGCCTCTCTATCTAAGATAAAAATATTAGATTAGACATTTGATAATCCCCAAAATTTTATGTTCAAGGAGAGAATGATCGATTTATACACGATAAAGTCTAGGCTAGAGATGGTACAAGAGTTGTTGTGTTACAATCATTTATGAATATTTGGGCTAGACTATCAACAATGAACTTTGCAAAATCATGGCTAGTCTTTTTTTGGTAACTATTACCAAGTAATTTTTACAAAAAAGCAAGTTAACACAATTCGAGTAATAATCACAAGTTGTGTTAGATATGAACGTAATAATCACAAGTGGTCCTCTCATGGAACCCACACCCCAACTGTTAGTGTGTAGGAACGTGACACCCGATCCAATATACATGTGTCGAAATGTGACACCCGATTTAATATATGTGTCGAAACGTGACATCCGATCCAATATATGTATGTTTATTGTGTGGTAATTAATTGCGTATATTGTGTTTACTGGAGCAGCCGCGTGATCCTACTAGTACACCGTGATTTTTGTACTGATACTGCACTTGTTCTTTCTTTGTTCAGTATAGGAAATCTTTAGGGGGTGATGTGAGGCCAAAATACATATTTTAAATTATTATTTGCCTCACATTTAGTATTTATATTTATTCTTTTTGAACATATATTTTATGGATTATGCTTAATAGTATATTTTATTCGTAGGATTAAATTGGTGTGAAGATGAAAAAGTTTGAAGCTAAAACAAATTAAAGATGGAAGGTTGAAGAAAGAAATCAAACAGACAGCTTAATGGATTAAATTGAATATTATATTATATTTTCTCTTATTTGTGAATCAAACACTGCAAAAGAGAAAAAAGAAGAAAGCAAACATACCTGCATGCCACGTGGCAACCAATCAACGCACAATTGTTGGGTCGGCGAAGAAGTTTCACGCCGAATGTAATTTCGTTTGGTTTTGGATTCCCTATTTGTCTTGGACTCTATAATTTTATTTAGAATTTTCTATCTCTATAAATAGTTCGTACGAATAATTATTAGGAGAAGATGATAGAATGTAGAAAATAACTTTTGATTTAGAGTTTCATTTTTTTTTCTACATTTTTTCTTTGAATGATTGATTGTAATTGCTCTATGTCTATGTGGAGTTAAACTTCTAGTTCTTGGATTATATTTAATTACAAAATGATTGTTTAGTAATTTTGATTCTGCATAACTGTTTATCATATTGATTGTTCTTATATTCTTGTGATTACTATTTTGATGCTTGATCACCATTAGAATAAATTTATTGTCTTCTTTTCAACTCGGGAGAGGAATAGAGGGATAAAACGTGAAATATAAGGAGTATGATCTTTTCTTGCATGCCACTTGAATTGATTTGTGTCTAGGATATGGATATACCTAGATGTCTTGCTTGGCTCAAATACGAAAAGACAACTTAATGCTCCATAGTTGGTTCAGTCTATCCCCGCTCAACGATGTAGTTAGGCTGTCAATTGTGGTAGATTGTTAGAGGTCGAGAAACGATGACTATATTATCGATCCCATGAATCAACAAATATAATCAAATAAGTTGATGAAATTGATGCTAAACATGATTGTTAGTTAAATCATAAACATCTATCTTTTCTTAGTTAATTGCTTTTTAGTTATTTTATCTTTATTTTTAGTTTAGTTAATATATATTCATCTTTTGAAATCCTCCTAAAATAAATAATTAGAATTAGTATAATTTAGTAAGAATAATTAATCGACAATTCCTTGGGTTCGATAATTTGGTTCTTTTAGGACCACTATATTACTTGCACGACCACGTACAGTTGCGTGTGCAATTGGAAGCAACAGACGGCTACTGACAGACCTCAGCTAGGAGATCTTTGTCCGAGACCGGATTTAAGGGTGAGCCAGTTCTTTTAGGCTTACATGGATCCATCCTTAGTTTAGTCTGTTCTTTTCGAGCTCAGACTATATGTTTAGATTTGTTATGTTCTAGGGGTTGAGCTTTCGCAATGAGTATGTTAGTTGTTTTGCTTAAACCTTCGAAGTTTATGGGAACTCCACTTTTAGTTAATCATTTAAACCTGTTTCCCATCGGAGAGTTAGGGCCTGTTTGGATTGGCTTTTGGCTTATGACTTATAAGCCAAAACCATAAGTTAGGAATTCTAACTTATGGCTTTTGGCTATTTTGTATTTTGACTTAAAATAAGTGCTTCTAAGCACTTTTTAACTTTACCCAAACACTTCTAAACTGCTTAAAAGTTATCTTGTCTTAAAAGCACCTAAAATAAGTCAATCCAAACGGGCACTTAGTGTGGTTGCCAATCACGACAGTCGAGGTCGTGACAAATTTAGATAAAGCTCTTTAGATGGTATTTTAACATGTCAACTCTATTTGGTTTCTCATTTCCAATTCTTTTTTTTTTGTAAGATGGATGGGGAAAAGAAGATCTCCAAACAAGTACTTGAAACTATAGATCATGAAACAAGGTGCTCACACTCAAAGAATCTGAAGGATATGTAACAAATAAATATGATAGTTTTAAAGCAACTCTTCATATCGAAACAAAAAATGAAATCGATTTGGTAAGCTGGACATTGGAGTATGAAAGGCCAAATGAAAATGTCCCTGAACTAATAAGTTTGCTGAACTTCATTGTTGGTATGACCAAAACTATTGATGATCACCATGCCAATTCATGAATTGATGGGATCTATGTTGCTCGGACTATTAAAAAATGTCATCAGGTGCATGTCGAATCCTTTAAAAATAGTGCATCTTTGAAGGATCTGACACAAGTATGATAATATTTTTAAAGAATCCGAGCAACTTAGGATGTGAACATATATATTCATATGAGCTTTACATAAATACCATATGCTTTGTTTGTTGTTTGTCCATGTTGGTTTTGTACTTTTTAATGTTTGTTGCGTCTTTCTCATGTAAGTGATATGTTGTCAACTATGTTAACCTTTGTGTTGTGTAACACATGGGCAGAGGCGAATCCAAAATTTGAAAATTGGGGGTGCACCACTATCTTTTAATTTTTTGGTTATTGAAGGCAAAAAATAGAAAAAAAATAATGTCCATGCTGGACTCAAACCCACGACGTGGTGGGTAATAGATGCGTCTTTAATCAACTCACCTGGATGAATTTTCGGTTATTAAATAGTACAATTATATATATAATCTTTACGTAAGATATCTATACATTTATATAATTTGTTTCGAAAAGTTATCGGGTGCACGTGCACCCTCACAAATCAATGTAGGTCCGCCTCTGGACATGGGTATGAAGTTTATATATATTGATCTTTGCCTCCTCCTAATTTATATAGTGGTATTTTTTTTTAAAATTTTCTTAAAAGGATCAAGTATATTTTTTAACCATCAGGAATAGTTTAAATATACTTCTTTTATTGTAATTTGATATTTATATTTGTCTTTATTTAAATACAAAAACATGTGTAAAAGCTTAGAATCAAATAACCTAACGTCACTTTGAAATAGTCAATTCCTTTAGGACCCACTTTGTTTAACCCGGCCTGATATATTTGTCATCTCGTTTCATGTAGTGCCATTTTTTTTTATCTCTTTTAAAAAGGCCTTTTTAATATAATTAGAAATAATTTAATTTTAAATTTTTAATAATAAAATGATTTACAACTATACTAATATTTAAGAATTATTTTAGACCACAAGCTTTAAAATATATTTTTTTCAAAATAAAACAGTACTTATTTAACTTATTAGCCATGTAGGAAAAAAAGGAATCTTACTTCTAATTTTTTTTTAAGATGTCATGTTGTTAATTCATAAGCGTCCGTGAATTTGAAAAATTGTGTGTTAGTATATTGTAAAACGCTTCTTTTAAAGTAAATTTTATTTTAATCTTTTTTTCTCACAACTTGTATAATGCTGTTTTTTTAAATTATAAAATTCAGATTTATGAACGCTTGTAAGTTGACAACACAACTTTAATTTATTTAATTTTTTAAAGAAAAACTGTATTATTAATTTTCACAAAAACAATTACAAATTAATCACGTATACTTTTATATCTATTCTTTTATTATCTATACAAACTGTAATTCAAAGGAATTAAGGAATGGTAATTCAAAGGAATTAAAAACAATGCACGAAAAAAAGGAAGAATTTTAGTTTTTTAGTATATATTCAATGCATGAATCTGAGGCAAGAGTCTCTTATTAATTTATACGAGACACGGGTGTCCGTGCTAATACGGACTCAATATCTATTATTTTTTTAATTTTAATTTATGTGATATAGATAGAATTTAGAAAGTTAATTAAATTTTAATACTCCCTATGTCCCTAATACTTGTCTACTTTTCCTTTTATAGATGTCCCTAATTACTTGTCCATTTTGACAAATCAAGAAAGAACAATTTTTTTTACCTATTATATCCTCAATTAAATGACTAATTATTTAAAAAAATGTAGAACTTTTCATCCACTCCATAATTAATAGGGGTAAAATGGTAAACTCACTATGTCATTAATTATTTTCTTAATAGGTGTGCCAATTTAAAAGTGGACAAGTAATTAGGGACAGAGGGAGTAT